CAAGTAAAGTTCTTTTTGAATTCATAATATTTCCAGCATCAGAAAAAAGCCGTTCACTTGGTGTGGATGTTGCTTGAATTGCTAAATATTCCCGAGCTATCTCAAATAAAATAGGAAAATTATCCTTTTGTGCGGTCCACCAAGTACATGCATCAGATTCCATATTGATTTCTAAAATTGATAAATATCTTGCAACTTCATTTTCAATATTTTGCATATGCGATTGCATTTTTTTTTTTAAAGAATTACTTGCAAGTTCATCAGCTAAAGTAATTTGCTTATTTTCAATTGAAAATGATTGGGTTGTTGTTAAATTTTCTTTTTTTGCAATATATATTTCTTGTAATTTTTGATTTGTAATTTCTCGATTATATGCATTAATAAATTCAAGCTTTTTATATCGTGGATCCAATAATGAAGATAAAAGTTCATTTCCAGTAGGTTCATTCCAATAATATTCAAGAGCTTTATATAATGCGGTTTGTACTTTGTCACCCAAATGAATACAATCTTGTGGAATATTAATTTTAATTTTACGCTTTTTTAATTCTTCTGTTTCTTCTTCAGGTGCATCTTCATATCCAATATCAGAATCAAAAACAGTATCCGAAGTAGTTAAACTGATTAATTCTAGTTTATTTTGTTTTTAATTATATTTTTCTCGCAAATTAGCTTTTATTAATGCTAAAATTGGATTTAAAAATCCAATTGTTGAATATTTACTTGCTCCAAGCCAAGTAGTAGCTTCAGAAAATGGAAATAAGATTATAACAAGCTCTTTTAAAGCAATCCATTCAAGATCTGTTAACATAATTAAGTTTAATCGGTAAGATTCTTTTTGTGTTTGATAATCAATAGCTTGACTAAGAGTAATTTTCATAATATTAATAGCATCCTTAAGATATAAAAGCCTTGTCCATGTTAAGTAAGATGAATTCCAGCGAGTATCAATATCTTGAATAGCTCGAAGATATTTATGATTATCTTTAATAATATTTTGTTCGGGTATATGAAGTAAATCTCTTTGAGCTTGTTCAAGACGTTCAGATTGTTTTGGTGCTATTAAAAATGCCAAAAGTCGTTTTGTTCGAGCTACTAATACTTGTGCTGGCATCAATCCCTTTCCAATAACCAGTTGTAAAGTATGTGCACTACATTTGATTCGTTGAATATTTTTAGTATTCATTAACTCTATAGCTTTAATCATATTTTTTCCATTATCCGTTGTAATTGTTTTTACTTTATCACTAATATTCCATTCATCCATAAGATTATATAATGTATCACAGATATTTTCTCCAGTATGCGGATAAGGACACAAAACATTTCCAAGCATAATTTCATTTAATTTGAAATTAGAATCAATCCAGTGACAAGTAACTCCAAGATAAGCTTCACGACTACGAGCAGTCCATAAATCACATGTAAGTGAACATGAAAGAGCTGTATTTTGAAGTTTTTGTCGCAAAATATCTGATGAATGGTTATATGCTTGATGAATCATTTGTTTTACCATTTTATCATTAGGTAACTGATAATGTGTATCGAATAAAGTGATAAATTCTTGAAATGACTTGGATTCAAGAATATATAATGGTAATGAATCATTAATTATCCAATTGACAAGTGCTTGATTTCGAATTTGTTGATGTTCAGTATTATTAAAAGTTGCTTGTTTTACAGCAATTGATTCGGTTTGTTGTGCTGTTTGTGCATTGCTATCTTTAGTTATTCCATGAATACTACTTAAATGAGTCCAGAAATTGCCAGTTGATTCTCCCGTAGTAATACAAATATGAAAACATGTTTCCTTTTTATGAGCTCGTGTTACTTGTTGTAAACAACGTCCAGCAGTCTTTTCCGGTTTATCAATTATTTCCAAAGGTTGAAAATACTTCCAAATTTGACTTGAAAGTTTTTTAATTTTTTCTTCAGATAAAGGACGATATTTTGGCAATAAAACTTTATTATTTGTATCACTTTCATAATCATCGCTTAGTGTTTTATCTGATTCTTGAGAGATATCATCAGAAATATATTCATTTTGTCGTTGTTTTTTATATCGATAACTTTTTGTTGTTTCTTGAATGTTTTCTAACAAATTTTCATTCATAATTCGCAAAGAAAATATTATATTACAATAAAATGTCTTGATTTTGTAAATTTAAGATATAATAATTAAATAAACTATTAGTATACGTGCATAAAGTAAAGTACATGTATATCAATTAAATACAAAAATTCCATTTGTAAGATAAATTACTTGATTGTACTGTAAGTTTTTAGATGACCCATTCTTGCATAATAATTACTAACTCTTGATTTCTTATAGGTGCGAAACTTAGTTAAAATCCTTTTTTTACTTGAATGGCTGTCGATTGCGACAAAAAAATTTTTTTTTAAATACAAGTTTCTGGTATTGTCGTCACCGGCGAGTCTGTCACTAAAACGGCTTGCTCTTCACGTAACAATAATCTGAACGCTTGGATTTCGGCACTAAATAAGGTAAGGCTTTAACTCCGAGGCTGCATTTCCTTTGTTAGCTCACGTTGTCCCTCTGGTTCGTCCCTTTTCCTCTCAGTTTTATCAGCCTTATCTGAATCCTCTTTGATCACCGTCATCATTTCTTTCTGTTGGGAGGACCACACGACAGGCCTAGGATCTCTGATCGTATTTCATTATTGAAGTTGGGACAACCATTCGCTCTTTCCGTTGCTTCTTTGTCCTCCTCAAATGAGATTAACCATTCTTCCTCATCTTTACTTATTTCCCCCTTTTTACACAGGCCTTCGATCTGCAAAGTGGCTTTTCATCCTCATCACTAGGTCTGTCGTCGATCTCGTCAGTATGTGACTTCTCAGTTTCATCATCCGAGATTGGAACCTTCTCTTGCTTTTTTGATATAGTTCCCCACCCAGAGTGTATGCCGTATCCATTTCTTTTTCAGATCGAGACGCATTATCATCATCATACAGAGTTTGGGCTTCACCCTGATTCCTAGGTGACACTCTCTTACTGATGGTGACTTCGGCACAACCTTTTTTTTCTTCTCTTACCCTTGCTAGCCAGGTCAGTCTTTACCGAACAATCCTTATCACGGAGTCCCTTGGTCTCAGGCTCGATGCGAACAGGTATGTCATATCCTTCCCTCATTTCACGTATCAATTCTTCTATACAGTCATTCAACTTTCTTACCTTGTTTAACCTTCTTTCATCATCGTCTTCAATTTTCATTGCTGCTTTGAATGCTTCTCCTGGGTTGGTCACGTTTGCCATGGCCAGTAAAGATAGCATGTCCTTTCTCAGCCCAGTCACGAGCAATCATTCTGCCACTTCCCTAGAATAGTCGTCCTCAGGGTAAAGTTTCATGAGCAGTCTTCTAAACCTACGGGCTTACTCACTCACTTTCTCGTTCTTTTTTTGCTTGAATTCTTTCAATTATTCCTCATTCTGACACCGCTGCTCCAGCATTACGAAGTGATGCATGAACACCGGCATGAAACTTCGTTTACAGTCATCTTTATTGTTCAAAATATGAAACGATCTTGGCAGCCCTCATACCAGTCCGCCGCCCTTCCTTCCTGGTATTTTGCTACTCTTATTAGTTTCTCGTTGCTTTTCCATTCTCTCATTTTTGAGATCTTTTCGTAGAGCATAGGTCCTCTCCTTCGCCGTTGAACCTGGGCATTCTAAAACCACGGACTTTCTTTTCTCCTCCCGGGTTGGCGAAGGCATTCTTTTCTTCTCTCCGGACATGTCGTTGTCACAAAGCAAGGGGGATTCACTGATCAGTTATATTATCGATGATTTCTATCATTGTTGCCATTGATTAATAATCAAGGCAAATCACAGACTAATCACAGGATCCGTACGATCATCCTAAAGAAGGTAATGTCTTGTTTTCTCAACGATCTCCGAATTTACTAATGGTTTCTCTCCTTTCTTCTCTTTCTCATTAACTAACACAACATTTGTTTGTGCAATTTATCGGGGGGGAGTAACAAGTGTTCTTATCTCACAGTCACCACCAAATGATGTCGTCACCGGCAAGTCTATTGCTAATACTCTCACTCTTCGCGTGACGATAATCCAAACGCTTGGATTTTGGCACTAAATAAGGTAAGGCTTTAACTCTGAGGCGGATTACGATTTGACTGACTTTCACATTTGCTAATCTCTCTTGACCATCGCTCTCTCTAGGCGCATCTCAAGACTACAAGTGTCACTCTCTTTACAATGCAAATGGGAACTCAGCTTCTTCTCTTAAAGGTTACTTTACTGTAGTGGCGTAGACTTAGTTTATACTTCAAGGCGTGTATTCATAGGAATTTTTAAAATAACGTTTCCAGATAATTCAATATCAAATCAACACTTCTCCAATGGCCGTTAGTTCAGCCCTTTTCTAATTGGACACTAGGG